GGGAGAGGGAGAGGGAGAGGGAGAGAGAGAGAGAGAGAGAGAGAGAGAGAGAGAGAGAGAGAGAGAAACAAACATAGATGAGAGAGAACATTGACTGGCTTCCTCCTGCATGCCCCTCACTGGAGATTTGACCTACAACCTGGGTATGTGCCCTGACTGGGAATCGAACCAGCAATCTCTTGGTGCATGGATCGTCGTTCAACCACTGACCACACCAGCCAGGCTCTTTTATTTTAGAGAGAGTGGAAGGGAGGGAGGTAGAGAGAGAGAGAGAAACATCGATGCTGAGAGCGACACATCAGTTGGTTGCCTCCTGCACAGCCCTAGTCAGGACCGGGGAATCCTGCAACCCAGGCATGTGCCCTTGACTGGAATTGAACCCTTTATCCTTTGGTTCGTAGGCTGATGCTCTAACTGCTGAGCCAAACGGGCCAGGGCCTTTGTTATCTTTTTAATGTCCATGAGCATATGTAGTGATGGCTCCTCTTTCATATCTGATATTAGTAATTTGTATCCTTTTTCTTTTTTTCTTAGTTAGCCTAGCTAGAGGCTTGTCAGTTTTTATAATTGATCTTTTCAAAGAACCAGCTTTTGGTTTTGTTGATTTTCTCTATTGATTTACTGTTTTTAATTTTATTTCTGCGCTAATGTTTTTAAAATGTTTGAACAGTTGGGTTTATTTCAACAGCTGATTTGAAACTCATGTCTTATGCAAGAGTACTACAGTAATTATATCAGGAATAGACAATTTCCTACTATGTGCTCTCATTTTTTATTATTTATTTTCTTTTACTTACTTTGGATTTAATTTTTTGCTCTTATTTTTCTAGTTTGCTCTTATTTTCTAGGGAAAACTTAGATGACTAATTGTAGATTTTCTTTTGTAATACACGTATATAATGCTATACATTTTCCTCTAAGCACTGCTTTCAGCATCCCCAAAATTTTAGTAAGATGTGTTTTCATGTTCATTTAGTTCAAAATATTTTTAAATTTCTGTTGAGACCTGTTCTTTGGCCCATGTAATATGTAGAAGTATGTTATTTAGACGCATGTTTTCTCTCTCGAGCAGGCCCACACCTTTCCCCTTGTCCTTCCCCCGGGCACGTTTCTTTGCCTTTCTTTTTCCTAAGCTCCAAGGGCCCTTCTTTTGCCTCTGTGCCTTGTTTCCTGAGCCCACACAGACTAGCTGGCTCACTTCTTCCAGAGTTCACTTCTTCTACCTCTGTGACTTTCGAAATAAACTTTTGCTTGTATTTGGGGGAAAAAATAAGTATGTTGTTTAATTTCCAAGTATTTTGGGATTTTCCAGCTCTCTGTTATTGATTTCTATTTGATTCCATTTTGGTCTGAGAACAGACATTGTATGACGATGTCAGTCCATGGGATGATGCTCAATCCACTGAGCAAGACTGTCTGAGTGATAATGACCTTATTTATTCCTGATAACTTTCCTTGCCTTAAAGTCTATTCTGTCTGAAGTTAGTATAGCTATTCCTGCTTTCTTTTGATTAGTGTTATTTTTCTCCATCAATTTACTTTTTTTTTTTTTTTTATCCTCACCCGAGGACATTTTTCCATTTTTTTACAGACAGAGTGGGAGGGAGAGAGAGGAAGAGAGAGAGTGAGAAACATCGATGTGAAAGGGACACATCGAGTGGCTGCCACCCGCATGACCAACCAGGGCCGGGGACAAACTGCAACCGAGATACGTGCCCTTAGCGGGAACCGAACCCGGGTCTCTCCGGACCGCAGGCGGGCGCTCTAACCGCTGAGCCAAACCGGCCAGGGCTCCATCAATTTACTTTTAATCTTAGAACTCTTTCTCTCTTTTTAAAAAATTGATTTTAGAGAGAGAGGAAGGGGAAGAGAGAGAAAAAGAAAGAAAGAAAAATCAATTTGTGGTTCCATTTATTTATGCATTTATTGGTTGAGTCTTGTATGTGCCCTGACCGGGGATCGAACCTGCAACATTGGTGTATCTGGATGACATTCTAATCAACTGAGCACTCACCCAGGGCATAACTCCATTCTCTTTTAAGAAGCATTTCCAGAAATCCCAAACATTTCCACTTATACCTCATTGCTAGAACATGACTACATGGCTATAACACCTTCTTCCTTTTTAAGGAAATATTATTTTATTTTATTTTATTTATTTTAATCCTCATCTGAGGATATTTTTCCATTTATCTTCAGATAGAGTGGGAGAAAGAGAGAGGGAGAGAAACATCAATGTGAGAGACACACATCAATTGACTGCCTCCCTCACAACACTGACCAGGGCCAGGAACCGAACCACAACTAAGGTACGTGCCCTTTACCAGAATTGAACCCGTGACTCTTTGGTTGAGAGCCGATGCTCAAACCACTGAGCCAAACCAGCCAGGGCAAGAAATATCACTTTTAAAAATGTTTTTATTGATTTTTAGGGAGAGAGATAGAAACATCGATGTGAGAAACATCAATCAACTGCCTCCTGCACGCCCCTTACTGGGGATTGAGCCTGCAACTGGAGCATGTGCCCTGACTGTGAATTGAACCCGGACCTCTCAATCCATGGGACAACCCTCAATCCATTGAGCCACATTGGAAGAACAGGAAATAGCATTGTAAAAAAACAATTTGAGCCCTGTCCGGTTTGGCTCAACTATTAGAGTATCAGCCCATAGACCAATGAGTTGCAGGTTTGATTCCAGTCAAGAGCACATACTTCAGTTGTGGTCCCAGGCCCTGGTCGGGTCGTGCGGGAGGCAACGAGTCGATGTGGCTCTGTCACATCGATATTTCTCTGTTTCTCTTTCTCTCCTTCCCTCCCACTCTATCTGATGATAAATGGAAAAATATCCTGGAGTGAGGAATAAAAAAACAAAAAAACAATTTGATCCCTGTCCAGTTTGGCTCAGCAGTTAGAGCGTCAGCCTGCAGACCAAAAGGTCATGGGTTTGATTCCTGGTCAAGGGCAAGTACCTGGGTTGCAGGTTTGAGCCCTGGCCCCTGTTGGGGTCGTTCAGGAGGCAAACGATTTATGTGTCTTTATCACATAAATGTTTCTCTCTCTGTCTCTCTCTTTCCCTTCCTCCCTTCCTCTCTTCTACTCTCTTTTAAAAAAAAAGAAAGGAAAAATATCCTCGGGTGAGGATTAACAACAACAACAACAACAAAACATTTTGAATGGTGAAGGGCACGTACCTCGGTTGCGGTTCGTCCCCGGCCCTGGTTGGGGTTGTGTGGGAGGCAACCAGTCAGTGTGTCCCTCTCATGTCAATATTTCTCTCTCTTGCACTGGCCGGTTTGGCTCAGCAGTTAGAGCGTCAGCCTGCAGTCCAGAGAGGCCCAGGTTCGGTTGCCGCTAAAGGCACGTACCTCGGTTGCGGTTCGTCCCCGGCCTTGGTTGGGTTGTTCGGGAGGCAGCCACTCGATGTGTCCCTTTCACGTCGATGTTTCTCTCTCTCTTCCTCTCTCTCCCTCCCACTCTATCTGAACAAAAAATGGAAAAATGTCCTCAGGTTAGGATAAAAAATATATATATATTTTCTCTCTCTCCCTCCCTCCCGCTCTATCTGAAGATAAATAGAAAAATATCCTTGGGTGAAGATTCAAACAAACAAACAAAAACAAGCCCTGGCTGGTTTGGCTCAGTCATTGGAGCATTGGCCTGTGGACCAGAGAGTCCTGGGTTTGGTTCCCTCTAGGGGCACATACCAACACAAAAAACAAAACAGAAACTGGCTCCATTGTTAAATAAAAAGGGGGAGGAGTGGATGATGTGTAACTAACAATCTCTGCCACAGATAGTTGGTGTTATATTCTTTACTTTAGAAATGAAGAAATCAAATCTTAGTGAGTTGAGGAATTTATCCAAGGAAAACTTCCAATCTTAAACCTTCTAATTTGAATTTTCCTTCAAACCAGAAAAAGACCACAATTTTTTATAATAGTTTATAAGCTTGAGACCCACCTGTTAGAGCCATGGAATCTCATAGGATCAACGGTGACTCGTTAACAGTTTTTCCGATACTAATTTTAGATTCTCAGAAGTATAAAAAGCCAACTCAGTCGAATTCACCAATATTATTGTTGTTCCCTAAGACTTTACTATCCTTCAACTACTTCTTAGTCAAGCTAACCCCTTAAAACCCAGCCCAGGAACCACCTCCAGGAAGTCTTCCCTGACTTGCCTACTCAAGGTACCCATTATGTGCCATGCGCTTTCCTGATCACACTCCACAGATCATAGCCTACTCTAGTCATTATTTGTTTGTTCTTCTCCCTAGATTAAAGGTTTATTCTTGAGGTTGGGAATCTTGTCCTAGATGACCTTGTTATCCCAGAGTCTAGTCTAGTGCCTGGCACCCAACAGGTCCTCAGTCAATGCTTAGAAAATAACTGAGGGAGCCCAGCCAGTGTGGCTCTCTGATTGAGCGTCAACCCATGCACCAAGGAGTGGCTGGTGCGATTCCCAGTCAGGGCACATGCCTAGGTTGTGGGCCCAGTCCCCAGTAGGGGACATGCAGGGGGCGGCCAGTCAGTGTTTTCTCTCATTGATGTTTCTATCTCTCTCTCTCCTTCTCCCTTCCTCTCTCTCTCAAATCAATAAAGAAAAAATATTTTAAAAAGAAGAAGAAAATAAATGAGAGCACCCTGGCCAGTGGGGCCATGCACCAAGAGGTCACTGGTTTGATTCCTAGTCAGAGCACATGCCCAGGTTGTGGGCTTGATCACCAGTAGGGGGTGTGCAAGAGGCAGCCTATCAGTGTTGCTCGCTCTCACTTCCTCTCTCTCTCAAAAAATCAATAAAAACATATTTTTAAAAAAATGTTTGAGGGAGTCATCTTGGTGTGTTCAGCACTCTGCTTCAGTTGTTTGCTATTGCCAGTGTTATTGATTTATAAACTTTTTTTTTTCAACACCTATCAAGATTCCAGTGAAAACTTTGAAGAAATCACACTGAATTTTTTTACCCGATTTTTGTTTATGTCTTTTTTGTTTCCCCACAGGAAGGAAAAGGGGGAGGAAGAAAAACTGGACTTGAGCTGCTGTCGCTTCTCACTTTCAAGGCCTGATGAAATCTGTTCCCTGGAACTAGAAGGTTCCAACAGAGCATCTGATATGTTTGATATCGGGTAGGTAGAACAACAACAGGAGAAAAAGCCCTGGCCGGTTTGGCTCAACTGTTAGAGCGTTGGCCCGTGGACCAGAGTCCCGGGTTTGGTTCCCACTAGAGGCACATACCTCCGTTGCAGTTTGTTCCCAGCCCCGGTTGGGGTCGTGTGGGTGGCAGTCAGTCAATGTGTCTCTCTCACATCGATATTTCTCTCTCTTATTCTCTCTCTCCCTCTCCTCTATGCAGAAATGTCCTCTGGTGAGGATAAAAAAACCAAAAAACAACAACAGGAGAAAAAGAAAATCCTGGTCAAAGACTGAAAAATAAAAATAACCATTCCCAGGATAAAAAAGAGAGTTCATTATTCATTATAATTTTTCCTCAGCTGAGTGAAAAACAGGAGTGAGGAGTTTTTTGCTTGGATGACTACACTTATTCATGCATTTATTCTTTTACCCATTATTTTATTTAAAATATTATATCTAACAATATTAAGTTATAATATGATGATAATGGCTACAATTTATTAGCTGGTTACTCTGTGCCAAGCATTAAGTTAAACAGGTTAGGAACATGTCTTCCTTTTAACCTTTAGAACAGCCACATAAAGTAGAGATTATCCACTGTGTTTTCTACAGCACTATGCCCAGGTTTGGAGAAATTTCAAAAGTTCCCAAGGGTAGACACCAGGTAAATAACAGTACCTAAGACACAGTCGCTATTTTCAGGAGGTTCACAGTCTGGTATAGAGAAGGCAGATGTATCAACAAATAAATGCTATACGTTCCAGAGGTGCTATTAGAGGGACAAAGAAGGCAGCAGCCTGGAGCCGTGCAGAAACACTTTACAGAAGTGGTGTGTCTTGACCCGAGTCGGGCGTTTGCCAGGCAGAGGGCAGGAGATGAGAAAAGGCACGATTCTCAGTGGTTGGAGCAGTGGAGGCAAAGGTTCAGAGGCAGGAGATCAAGAAAGTATGAGGTGCTTCTAGGAAAGGGGACTTGGAGAAGATCCCTGGACAAGTCAGGAAGTGATTTCCATTAAGCACTTCATTTTGTAAGTTGTGGAAAGCCATGGAAAGATATTAAACAGGGGAACCACAGGGTCATATGGATTTTATAAGTCCTGATGGCAGATGGTGGTCTTCACAAAGGGAGGATATATGTATTTGGGGGGATTTGCAAAGGCTCCCACAAATATTCTCTCTGTGGAACCCTGGCTCTACCTCTTGATCAGTAGTCCCCAGGCTTTCTTTTTCCCCCCTTTTATTGATTTGAAAGAGAGAGAGAGAGAGAAACATCGATGAGAGAGAACATCGATTGGCCGCCTCCTGCATGTCCCCCACTGGGGATCGGGCCCACAACCTGAGCATGTGCCCTGACTGGGAATCGAACCGGCGACCTCTTGGTGCATGGGTCGGCGCTCTACCCGCTGAGCCAAACCGGCCAGGGTAGTCTCTCTCTTTTTTAATCTGCCTATTTTTTCCTTTTTTCCTTATGTACTTATTATAATTTATCTCCAAATTCTCCCTTGGTTGTATAAATCTCCTCCCAGTACATTCAGACACTTGACATAATCTGTCAGTCTCACCTTCTGACCTGCTTCACTCTGGGTGGTTGATTTCTAGCTGTTTTTATAATGCTGGGGGTTCCCGTCTTCATTCTCTTAATCACACTGATTTTTTAATCTGTTTCTGTTTTTGTCTTTATGGTTCGTCCACAGAGAGGTCACCAGGAAATCGACACTAACACAGGAGAAAAAGGCATCTTTGACTAGCTCCTCACTTTCCAGCTCCTCTGGAGAAGTTCAAGAATTGGGAGAATTTTCAGAATGAAGCCTGCGCATGTTGTTAGGTTTAATCTAAAACAAACAACAAGATAAACAAAAAATAATACTGCAACATGTCTATTCATTCCCAGTCCATGGGACAAAGAATATTAAAGTTCACTTCTACCCTGGGCCAAAGTCAGGATTTAAAGATAAGTTAATTCACCTCATTCATTCATGCCTTTACTTACATGCTTTCTTACTTATTTATTTAAATCCTCACCGAGGATATTTTTCCATTGATTTTTAGATAGAGTGGGATGGTGGACACGAGAGAGAAAAATCTATATGAGAAAGACACATCAATTGGTTGCCTTCCGCACAACCCCAAGCCGGGCTGGGGATTATACCTGTAACTCAGGTATATGCCCTTGACCAGGAATCGAACCCACGATTTGGTTCAGGGCTACTTACTAATTTTTTTTCCTTTCCTTTATGGATTTCAGAGAGAGAAGAAATGAAAGTGAGAGAGAGATAGAAACATCAATGAGAGAGAACATCAGTTGGCTGCCTCCTGCATGCCCCCCACTGGAGACTGGGTCCACAACCTGGGCATGTGTCCCGACCGGGAATCGAACCGGCAACCTCTTGGTACATGGGTCAGCGCCCAACCACTTGTTTATTAATAACACCATGGAATATATAATATTATTATGTAACATAGTAATTATAGGAGACATCATTTATTAAGCACTTACTATGTGCCGAGTGCCCTGTTAAAACCTTTTTAAACAATTTCTCTGTTAATCTTCCTATGGCCCCCCGAGATGGTACTGTTACCTCTATTTCCCCTAGGAGGACACAGGGGCTTGGAGAGGTTGAGTAAATATTCACTAAGTGTCTATTCTATGTCATCCCTGCATTTGTCCCTGTGGATACAGAGATGAATAAAGACATAGTCTCACCCTGGCCGGTTTGCCTCAATGGTTAGAGCATTGGCCTGCAAACCAAAGAGTCGAGGGTTCGATTCCAGCTAAGGGCATATACCTCAGTTGTGGTTTGTCCCGGGCCTCGGTTGGGGTCATGCAGGAGGCAACTAATCAATGTGTCTCTCTCACATCGATGTTTCTCTCTCTTTCTCCCTCCCACTCTATCTGAAGATAAATGGAAAAATATCCTCGGGTGAGGATTAAAAAAAAAAATAGACACAGTCTCTGACCTTAAGGGGCTCACAGTCTAGAAGAGGAGGTAGGATGTATAAATAAAAAATGCATTAATGCTTTGCTAGAGACTTGTGTGGAATTTAAGAAAAACCAAATGGAGAGAGACTTCACTGAGGCCCAGAGGTCCTGGGCCATTGTGCAGAAGGATGTGCAGTGGGCTGAGAGGCTTAGCCAGTATCATTTTGGCCTCGGCACAGAGAGTGGCCTGTTCTGTGTTAGAACAGTTTGTTCGGCACAGCCAAGGGTGAAGAAATCATGCAGACAGCTGTTTGCCTGAACCAAGAAGCACATAAGTGCCTCCTTAGGACCTCTGGTGTCTCCCAGGGATATGCATCTTCACTTGAACCCTGAATGTAACTCTTGGTGACCTCCCTTGGAGAATATTACCCAGGTAAAGAGGCAGGAAGGGTGATTGAGAAAGGAGCTCAAGCTTTGGCCCCAGAAAATTCAGGGCTTTGAGTCCCCTGCCTTGCTTCATGATAGATGTATGATTTTAGCCCTAGCAGCAGTGTGACTTGACCTTTATGAACTTGTTTTCTTAAATACAGAAAGGAATGCCTGCCTAGAAGGCTAGTGTTGTGATGATTAAATAATATAATTTATGCAAAGTTCCTGACACAGCCTATTACACTTGGTAATTGCTACCAACTATTATTGTTGTTATCATTGCTGTTAAAAAGTATACTCTCCTGAAACCAGGACATGCTGAGCACCGGCCATGCATAATGTGCCATATGGCTCAGATAACCAGAGCACTCTCTTTCCTCCCCTTTGTTACTTAAGCCACAATCAACTGTTTATTGGCAGTTTTCTTCTAAGGAGCCATGCTCTCTCTCCTATTTCTGGGTCTTTGGCCTGTTGCTGCTTCTGTGCCTGGATATCCCTTCTCCCTCTTCCCTGTTAACTCCCAGTATTGCTAATTTCTGCTTCTCCTTCAGGACCCTGTGCAGATGTCCCCTCCTCCAGGAAGCCTTCTAGGAAACACTAGCAGCAAAGTTGACACGTGTCCCTCCAGTGTGCTCCCACAGCCTTTTATGCACACCCATTACAAGCAGTTACCATAGAAGATGTAATCTGTTCACTATCTATCTCTATAACTAGCCCCACTCAGAAGGATGGTCTCCTGGTTCTCTACACCCAGGGTAAATTGCATTGCTGTCTTTCAAGACGATCCTGTGCATAGTGCTTGGGTTCATCCTTGCATGGACCCTTTCCAGAAATTACTGAGGACTCATAACCATAGGCCTCTCAGGAAAGTCAAGATTAAAAGAGTTATCTTTGCTCTGTAAATATTAGAAGGGAAAATTATGGGGAAGAATGCTTCGCCCTTTATAAGGGGAGGGTTATAGAGCATTAAAGGGAACTAACATTTTTAGTGTTTCCTGTAACGTGTGATGGAGCAAATGAATAATTGGGTAATATTCCAGTTCTGTCACTCCCAATGTTATTGTGGACTAGTATTCTCAGCATGGAAGAAAGGAAATTCAGATGTTAAATTAGAAGAGATGAAGTTAAAAACCTGTAGTTCTGCCTGGCCAGTGTGGCTCAGTGGTTGAGCGTTGACCCATGCACTAAGAGGTCACCAGTTCGATACCTGGTCAGGGCATATGCCCAGGTTGTAGGCCCTAATCCCAGTGGGGGGCATGCAGGAGGGGGCCAGTCGATGTTCTCTCTCATTGATGTTTCTATCTTTCTCTCCCTCTCCCTTTCTATCTCTCTAAAAGCAATAAAGAAAAAATATTTAAAACAAAAACCTGTAGTCCTGATTTTTTTTTATTCTCACCTGAGGACATTTTTCCATTTTTTTGTTCAGATAGAGTGGGAGGGAGAGAGGGGAAGAGAGGGAGAAATATCGACATAAAAGGGACACATCGAGTGGCTGCCTCCTGCACGACCCAACCAGGGCCGGGGACAAACTATAACCAAGGTACATGCACTTAGCGGGAACTGAACCCGGGACACTCTGGACCGCAGGCCAATGCTCTAACCGCTGAGCCAAACCGGCCAAGGTTCGACTGTTTTTATAACAGCCAATCTGTACATCATAATCCCCCGAACCTTTTTTACCCATTCCCAACCCCCTCCCATCTGGCAACCATTAAAAAGGTTCCTCTGGCCCTGGCCGGTTTGGCTCAGCGGTTAGAGCGTCGGCCTGCGGTCCTGAGAGACCCGGGTTCGGTTCCCGCTAAGGGCGCGTACCTCGGTTGCAGTTTGTCCCCGGCCCTGGTCGGTTGTGCGGGTGGCAGCCACTAGATGTGTCCCTTTCACATCGATGTTTCTCTCTCTCTCTCTCTGTTTCTCTCTCTCCCTCCCACTCTACCTGAACAAAAAATGGAAAAATGTCCTCGGGTGAGGATAAGAAAAAAAAAAAAAAGGTTCCTCTGTAGCCCTGGCCAGTTTGGCTCAGCGGTTGGAGTGTCAGCCTGCGGATCAGAGAGTTCTGGGTTTGGTTCCCGCTAGGGGCACGTACCAAAAAATAAAATAAAGTTAACAATATTTTTAAAATAAAATAAAAAGGTTCCTCTGTATCTATGAGTTTATTTGTTTGTGTATTTTGTTTTTTAGATTCTACACATAAGTGGACTCATAAGGTATAGTGTTTCTCTGACTTAGCAGACTCAATGTTTTTCAACAAATACGTTGCAAGGGAAGACAAAGAGGGAAATCTATATATTAAAAGAGACAAAAGGAGCCCTGGCCATTTGCTCAGTGGTTAGAGAATCACCCTGTGATTGAGGGATCCCATTTTCCATTCCCTTTCAAGGACAAGTACCTGTATTGTGATTCATCCTCAGCCCCAGTGGGGGTCATGCAGGAGGCAGCCAGTGGATGTGTCTCTGTCACATCGATGTTTCTCCTTCCCTCCCTCACTCCCTCCCTCCCTCCCTCCCTCCCTTCCACTCTAAAAATCAATGGAGCCCTGGCTGGTTTTACTTAGTGGTTAGAGCATCGGCCTGTGGACCAAAGAGTCTTGGGTTCAATTCCCGGTCAAGGGCATGTACCTCAGTTGGGTTCAATCCCAGCCCCAGTCAGAGTCATACAGGAGGCAACCAATCATTGTCTCTCTCTCACATTGAGATTTCCCTCCCTCCCTCCCTCCCTCCCTCCCACTCTATCTGCAGATAAATGGAAAAATATCCTTGGGTGAGGATTAAAAAAAATTTTTTTAATTAAATAAAAAACAGTGGAAAAGTGTCCTCAGGTAAGGATTAACAACAACAAAAATTGTGTGTGTGTGTGTGTGTGGCATTTATGAGATAATTCGATATTTGAGTATCTGAATATTTAATATTAAAATTATGTTTAGGTGTGATGTTATGGTTGTTTTTAAAAAGAATCCTTTTAGAGATATATACTGAAGTATTTACATATGAAATTATATGACATATGGAATTGCTTCAATATAATATGAGGAAGGAAGTGGATAGAGGTATAGTGAAACAAAATAGGCCATGTGTTGAAAATTGTTGAAGCTGGCTGATGGGGATATTATACTAGTTTACTTTTGTTTATATTTGAAATTATCCATAATAAAAAATTAAAGGCATTTACTATGGACTAGACACTTTTTTTTTTTTTTTTTTATCCTCACCCGAGGACATTTTTCCATTTTTTGTTCAGGTAGAGTGGGGGGGAGAGAGAGGAACAGAGAGAGAGAGAAAAACATCGATGTGAAAGGGACACATCGAGTGGCTGCCACCCGCACAACCGACCAGGGCCGGGGACAAACTGCAACCGAGGTACATGCCCTTAGCGGGAACCGAACCCGGGTCTCTCAGGACCGCAGGCCGACGCTCTAACCGCTGAGCCAAACCGGCCCGGGCTGAACTAGACACTTTTAAAC